CCCTGAGCCGGTGAGATTTGAACCGCTGACCTGCTGATCTAGCAGTAGCCTGCAGTGCTGCATTTAACCACTGCGCCACCTTGGCTCATAAAACACAATGGGTACAAACTAAAGGTAAATGTTCCCCTCGCACATATGTGCTAGTCATTCCCGACTCTAGGGGGCGGTGCTCATCTCCGTTTCAAAGCCAAAGAGCCAGTGCTGTCCGAAGACGTCTCTGTGGTCATGTGGATGGCATGACTAAACACCAAAGGATCAAGGAATGCTGTTGCTTTCCCAATGAAGGTGGACCCTATTTTTCTACTTGCATTTTTACATGCTTTCGAACTGCTAGGTTGGCAGAAGCTGGGACATATAACGGGAACTCACTCGGCGCTAGGGATTCGAACCGCTGAACTGCCGACTTTCTGATCGACAAGCTCAGCATCTTAGCCACTGAGCATCTGAGCCCTCACTTTGGCTGTGAACATTTTGGTTTAATCTTAAACTACAACCTCAATCAAGGTCAAGATGAAGTTTCTGCATTTCAGGATAAGCAATGTGGGTCCTGTGGCTGCCACTGTGCTCTCAGCTGCATCTCTTCTAGTCTAGGAGTCCCCCCTGCCCCTCACTTGGCTTGTTGCAAAACAAAGCACCAGCCGTTAAACATTGAATGACTATTCTTAACCTCTCAGAACATCAAGGGAAATATACTAGTGGAGCTACTATAGTAGTCATGTTGTGAATGCACTCATCAAATGTATCCTAAACCAAAAAGTTTCTTAATTTTACTGTAATCAAACAGGAATATTTATTTCTACACTACCTTTCTGTTTAAATACTTAAGGTGGCTTAGAGTTGTTAAAGCTACCAAGAATATAATCAATGCAACTGAAAACAAAAATTAAAAATGGCTTTCATTGTGGCCCTTCTTCTAAATCTTCTTAAGAGCCCCTATATGCCACTCCAATATTATTCAGCTCAGCTCACATTAATGAAGCAAAACATTTCATCCCCCGAGTTCATACATATTAAAAACTATTAGAAGTTTGCCATCTCAAATTCGGTACACATACGATCTGTGTATTCAGGGATAAAAAGCCTCAGAGATTTCAAGTTGGAAATCAATGACTAGTCATGCAATCACTCAACCAAAAAGTTCCTTGGACACCAAAAATTATGCTGGGATTCCTGTTCCCACTTCCCAGGAAGCACTGAATATCTTTCCTGCAGTCCTAAAGGGCAGTCACTCTTATTTGTTTTCCCTAAGCATTTTGATCAGTAGGATTCTGCAGCTTCAAAATTTAAAATTTAATTTAAAAATTTTAATTTTAAATTTAAAAATGTCCTTTATAACAGAGAGGTATTGCACTTGCATGAGGTTTAAGATATTGTATTGAATCATAACAAGTACACACATCCCAATTAATTTCAATATATGAAAAACATCAAAGATAAGATTGCCAAGTAGGTATGAGCTTATAACTCACATTTTGCTGTCTGAGATACAAACAGCATCTTTTTCCCTTCCACAAATCTTCCATGAAACCAAGAGGCAGGAATGCAATTTTAGGGGCTCAGAAGTGTTGGGGTTCGCGACTTTCCCTAACAAGTGCCTCTAACGGCAGCTGCCTTCTTTAACCGAATGGTCATGTCAACCTGGAGAATCATTCATTCATGAGAGCGCTAGGAAAATTCAAACCCCAGCTCACTCTTAGTAAGAGTGCTACAATTCTCAAGGCTGGTTCAGAAGGCAATCATTTCTGCAACTAATTTCACTAGTTTCAGCCGGCATTGTACAAGCAACTTATGGAAACAACTTCATTTATCTTGCCTGTGTTCTTACTGATTGAACACTGCGTTTAACCATCCCCAGAAATGCCTCCGCAGCCCAGCAGGCGGCTGCCTCTTCAACAATTTCGTTTGACGGATCAGCACTTCCGTCAACATCACGTAACTTCTGAAAGAGATCATAATAATGACAGCTCAGTGGATTTCCAGAAACCAGTCACATTACCTTCATCAGTAACTTCTGACCCAGGATAACTAGCCACATATGGGGTGGATTTGCACACACAAAAAAGTGCATTATGGCTCAGGGCAGTCTATTACTCTAGCCATGATCTCTGCCCAATCTCTCTACTACAACATTGCTGGGGGGGGGGGGGAATTAGAGGGCAGTTCTCTCCCTACTGCAAGCAAGGAAAGGAACAATGGCTGATGGGGTGGGGAGGGGATGCTCAGACATTTGGGGCTACTGTATTGTAGAAGGCAAAAGCCCCTTCTGCATCTCTCCTTCGCCCACAACTTAGACCTTCAGGCCCACCCGATGAGAGAGCCCAGTGGTGTATTAACCATTAAGCAGACTAAGCACCTGGTTAGGGCACCAGGCCCAAAAGTGGCACCACAAAGTTGAGGAAGAAAGAAAAAAACAATGAAGATTTGTACAGTATGTATAAAGGAGGAGGGCACCAAGATTTGTCAGTGCTTAGGGCACCAGTGAGCCTTAATTCGCCTCTGGGAGAGCCTGCCCAGCCCAGCTCCCGAGAGCCGCTCTCAGGGCTGATGATGCCCCTGGGACTAGCTCCGCCCTGGCAAAGCGAGCAGGGGATCGAGGGGTGTTGTTGCAAGCTCATCCATCAGCGGGGTGCGCCAAAAAGGCCGCCCCGACCTTCCCTCTCTGCATGGAGGAGCTCGGCCTGCCTCCCTCTCCGAAGGGCCGGAATGGCGGCACATTCTGGGGAAACGCACCTCGGGCGCGATGGCGCGGTGACGTCTCCCTCCGCCTCCGCGGGATTCCTTCAGTCGTAGCGGGACCTGCGCGGCCTCCGATGTGCTTCTTCCCCCCACCCACACCCGCAAGGCCCGACCTGTAGCGGGCGGAGAAGGAGGAGGAGTCGGGTAGACTGGCTCGCTCGCTCTCCCGCCCGCCAGAGCTCGCAATGATCCCGGCGTGGCGTCGGGTCGTCGGCGGGGCCTGGCGCCCTTGTCGGGCCGGGGGTCGGGCGATGCCCTCGCGGCCTCTCAGCGCCGACAACGGCCGACGGAGGAGGTGAGCAGCTGGTAGCGTCAGTCCTGGGCTACCAGCCCCGCCATTTGCACCTCCCTCCCCCGCTTCCCCAGGGCAGCAGCCTGCAGCACCGAGCGGCGTAACTTTAGCAGCCGCTGCTAGGTAGACATTCAATAGGGAGAGTTTTCCTCTGCGGGGGAAGTCCTTAAAAAGAGAAAGTGAAGCAGCGCAATTTAAACTAATGCTCCGAGCTTAAGTATTTCCGTTTGTTGGGATCTGGGATGTAATTGCACCAGCTCTTAAGCACCTCTCCGTTTCCATGCCACGAACAACTTCTGCACAGTAGTGCTACTGCTAAGTAGAAATTCAGAAATTGGCTGGTTTTACAGATTACACTTAAGCCCTAATGAGCTTTGCCTGGTTGACATGTGCAGCCTGTTGGATGGATTCTGCTATTTTAAACCACAGTTGTAGGTTTAGCTTGCACAAACCCAGTCAGTTGTTATTATGCAACAGACCATGATAATTCAATATGTGGCTTAATATAATAGGAATCATTGCCTAATAACTATAAGTCATTATAGTTCATCATAAAAATAAGTTGCAATTAATCTTGAATTTTTTTTTTAAAAAATCTGGAGTTTGTGTCTTGCAAATGATCTTTTCAATGTTTTTGACAGTACCTTTGATGTCGTTGTCATTGGTGGTGGAATTGTGGGTCTAGCATCCGCCAGAGAACTTAGTCTGCGGCATCCGTCTCTTGCTTTTGCAGTACTTGAAAAGGAAAAGGAATTAGGTATGATATCTAAAATTGATAAAACAGTTGACAGACTTCTATATTATTTCCACTCATATGTTTAACTTACAGGTAAGGGTATTCCTTTAGTATTAAATGTTATACAGGTAGCCCTTGTTTAGTGATTGCCTTGTTTAACCACAGTTCTCAGTTACGATAGTTTGTGACCAATCCTTGGATTTATAATCTT